CTCACTTCCAGCAAAACAACAAACGTCAACCACACGGCGGTGATTGAAAAACTTTGCTTCAGACATTTCTAAAAATATCTGGAATGATTTTTTTCAGATAGAAGAATTTTAAAGATGGAAAGATGAAGTTTATCTACAGAGAGATGTGTGAGGGAATTTGTCTGTTTTAACCAGAACATGCACGCTCCTTTGGACCAGCTTATCCCAACGGTACACTTTGGTTGAAGATCGACTTTTACCTTTCTGAAGATATCTCAGTTCCGGCGTAAAGTTCCACTTCGAGCCACTTTTCAGCGTCTCCGTAAGAACAGCTAAACCTCCAGAGTCGTGAGATCATCCAGGACAGACTTTCATAATTCCCAGATCTTCTCTCGTTCAGCTTGATTTTTTTTTCATCAGCATCCTGAATTCCAGCCTTCATGAACTCTGGAACTGCTGTAACTAGGAAGTACTGCACCTTTTAAGAAGGGTCACTTCCGGTTCATTTGAGAACTTTCTGATTGGTCGAGTGGACCAAACAGAGGTGTGTTTTGTGATGTAAGGTGTTATGAAAAGTCAAGGAAAAAGATTAAGATTGTTTAAAAACAGACAAAAGATTGTTATGAAGAATTCAGACTTCGTGGAGTCACTTCTCCAGTATCTTGCTGTAAAAGTTAAACATGACATTTCTTTTTTCAGTAACTTGCAGTTGACCGAAACTTGAACTTTGACCAACTTCCATCACTTGCTCACTTCAAACAGACGATCAAGAAATTGAATCATTACTCTGTAACGTATTCCAACTTGATTTCACTTTGAATGAGGATTAAGAATCATTATTACCGTTTCACGGTTAATAAAAATGAGTAGTTCACTTCAACATTTAAACATTGTTTGAACTAACACAATTTGATTATCAAACATTTGTAAAATGGTAATGATAATAGAAAGTAGTCTTCTTTTACTTGATTAATTCAAGAAAGAAAGTCTCAGGATGGGTCAACCTGTATTTAATGATGCAAATCAATGAAATGACAAGTTCTGTCCCATATGGTCCTTAGGTCAAATCTTGACCTTAGGCTTAGTTCACTACATCAGTGTACCGCTCGGTTAATCGTTTTATGTTGAGTCAGTTTTAGTAGAAAAGAGAAATAGCAACCTATTTAGACCAATATGTGCAAGTTGTGCTTAAACATGTGCTTGGAAGAATGACTAACAAATATAAAACCAGTAATCTAGTAAATTTTTTCTTTGAAAAATACAGTCAATCAAACAGTTGTCTTCAATGAGTTTCTGTATTATTCCATAAAACAGTCACTCTTGTGGCTGGCTCACAATTAATACAGTGTTATTTTTACTTCGTCATTTAAAGAGGAACTCAGAGTCCGACAGCTGCAGGGACTTTTATTGTTCAACATAACGACGGCTCAACTAATTTAACAAAGGTGAACGGTCTAGTAACGAGCATTTCCCACTTCCAGAGTAAAGCGCTGCCTTTCTGACAGCAATCTGATATACGGTAGTTCTGCATTGTTCTCACACGTCGTCACTAACGAACATGTTTTTACGATGATGGCAGCTCTTTTTGGCTCAGAGCCAGAAATATCTGACATTTTCAAATCTATATTGGGTCAATGACTTTTACTTCATGTAGCCAATTATTGACCTATATCTAATCGTCTCAAAAATTCTAGAGAAAATAGTTGCAGGTCAGTTATGGGATCATCTGCAAAGAAATAATCTGAAGAGTTTCAGTCAGGGTTTAGAGCTCACCACAGCACTGAATCTGCACTGGTGAAAGTTACTAATGATATTCTCATGGCCTCTGACAATGGACAGGTGACTATACTGGTCCTGTTAGACCTCAGTGCTGCATTTGATACAGTTCATCATTATATTCTATTACAGAGACTTGAAAGATACTGGAATTATAGGAATGGCTCTAAATTGGTTTAAATCATATCTATCTGATAGATTCAAATTTGTAAATGTAACTGATGAATCCTCATCATACACAAAAGTTAGTCATGGAGTTCCACAAAGTTCAGTGCTCGGACCAATACTCTTTACCTTATATATGCTTCCATTAGGTAAAGTTATTAAACAGCATGGGATAGATTTTCATTGTTATGCTGATGACAGTTATATTTGTCCATGAAACCCAATAAATTGTGCAGTCTTTCGCCTTCCTCGGATGGCATTAATCTGGCCTCCAGAGTTCTGCGATGGAGTTAAATTCAAAGAAGTCTGTTCCTCAGATAAATAGTGTTAACTTATTTTTTTATATATAAATGTTTCTGTTCAGTGCCCTGAGATAACTTCTGTTGTGACTTGGTGCTGTATACAGTAAATAAACTGAATTGAACTCAAATGAATTTATGTGTAACATCAACAAGCTTCTTTCTGTGGGGAAATTGTTTTTTGCACATATTCAAACTTCTGCAGTGATGTTTTTTTTTTTTCTTTTGAACTTGTTCATTGATTTCCAGGTAAATTCACACGAAGAGGCAGCACAGATACGGCCGCAGACGCCGACAGCCTGAGCGCCAAACACTCTCATTCCCACCATTCCCTGCTCCGAGACATGCCCGACCACTCCAACAGCCACAGCGACAACACTGTGAAAGAAGGTGAAACCATAACTAGCAAAAATTGTTTTTGGAAAAATAACGAGTTAAATTTTTATTCAGTGGAACAAATTTTACCTTCTGTGCTCCAAAAGTTCGATCTCAAATCTCCACCATCACCATGGCGGCGTTCAACACAACCGTGGCGTCCTTTAACGTGGGCTACGCCGACTTCTTCACGGAGCACATGAAGAAACTGTGCAGCCCCGTTGCTGTGCCTGAGATCCCAGTGGAGCCGCTGGCCTGTGCCAACCTGCCCCGCAGCCTCACCGACTCCTGCATCAACTACTCCTGTCAGGAGGAGGGGGAGAACATTGAGGGGACCAATAACTTTGTGCTGAAAAATGGCATGTTGGACCTCACAGTGAGTGATAGATTCATCCCACACTATATAACAAAATATTTGTGACTGTTGTTGGGGTTTTATCGTAAAGATGCCCCCCCTTTGTAAATCAGGCCATCCTGCGGGCTCTTTATGCCGTCTTCAGTCACGACATCAGTTCCAGGATCTGCGACGTGGCGCTCAACATCATCGACTGCCTGCTGCAGCTGGGCGTGATGCCCGGCACGGGCAAGAAGCTGTCCAAACCCGACAACAAGGAGAACCAGGAGGCGCGGGCCAAAGACCCTCCTGGCCAGGGCTTCGGAGGAGGCGCTCAGGGTTGTGGACCGATTCCAGGAGGCGGAGGAGGAGGGGGAAATGGAGGCGGAGGAGGAGGGGGAAGTGGTGGAAGTGGAGGAGGAAGCGGGCAAGGGAGCAAGGATGATGTGAAAAACAACAAGGATGGTGACAAAACGGTGCGTTGAACTTGTACAGTAGTCCCTCGATTATCGCGAGGGTTACGTCTCAGACCCCACCCCCCCACCCCCACCGCTGCAATAAGTGAAATTCTGCAAAGTAGAAATGACATCAATTTCTGAGTTGAGTGATTAGAGACAATAGGTTTGGGGACAAAATGATTAGGGACTAAATGGTTTGGGACAAAATGATTAGGGACAAAATGGTTGGGGACAAAATGATTTGGGACAATATAGATGGGGACAAAATGCTTGGGAACAAAATGGTTGGGGACAAAATGATTAGGGACAAAATGGTTCAGGACAAAATGCTTAGGGACAAAATGGTTGGGGACAAAATGATTAGGGACAAAATGGTTCAGGACAAAATGCTTAGGGACAAAATGATTAGGGACAAAATGGTTGGGGACAAAATGATTAGGGACAAAATGATTAGGGACAAAATGGTTAGGGACAAAATGCTTAGGGACAAAATGATTAGAAACAAAATAGTTGGGGACATAATGATTAGGGACAAAATGGTTGCGGACATAATGATTAAGGACAAAATGGTTGGGAGCAAAATGATTAGGGACAAAATGGTTCAGGACAAAATGCTTGGAGACAAAATGCTTAGGGACAAAATGCTCAGGGACAAATGATTGGGGACAAAATGATTAGGTATAAAATATTTGCGGACAATACAAAACAGTTCAGGACTGAAATTTTCCCAATCGGATCAAAACTTTCCCTCCAGCAGAAAGCAACTTTGCCTTCTGGGTAATGTAGTCCTTTAGACTGGTGATACAGTGTAGGCCTATTGAGAGAAAGCTACAAAATAGCAGTGCTTTTTTGTTGTTGTTGTCGTGTTTTGTCATGGGGCGGCTGAGTGGTTAGAGCAGTCATCCTCCAATGCGAGAGTTGTGAGTCCGATTCCACCAGCAGTCACATGTCAAAGTGTCTCTGGGCAAGACATTGAACCCCCCATTGCCTTTGATGTGTGTCCCATCGGTTTATGAATGTGATAAAGTGCTGATTATTCTTTGTATAGATATAGTAGAGTGCTGTATGAATGGGTAAATGGAGGCACAGATTGTGTCGTAAAGCGCTTTGAGTATCTTGATCAGATAGAAAGGTGCTATATAAGTACAGTCCATTTACAATCTTACATTACTATACTTTGAAAAATCACGGAAGAGCGAGTCCGCAAAAGTCAAACCGCAAAGTAGCGAGGGACTCCTGTATTTGATTTTAAGACAGCATATTTGGGTGATTCCTAAAAGTCTTCTTTTTGTAAGCAGGACGACGGCTCTGGCTTCAGCTCCCACCGCCTGGCTTTAACCATGCTCATAAAGATAGTCAAGTCTCTGGGTTGCGCTTACGGCTGTGGCGAGGGGCACCGGGGACTATCAGGAGATCGCCTCAGGATGCAGGTCAGTCGCGTTGTCTTAAACTCTCCTCTTCTGTGCATATCTTCTCAATTCATTTTTAATACTCGCTCATCCTGCAAGATAAAACACACCTATACTCACCTGTTTTGTTCTAAAGCACGCGTTTACCACTTCACCATGTGAAAGCTGTTCAAAAAGAACCGTACGAGATGTTTTAATGTGCCTTTCCTTTCAGGCTCAGAACTGCTTGACCAACCTGTACAAGCTGGACAAGGTGCAGTTTCGCCAAACAATGCGCGAGTATGTCAACAAAGACTCCCTCAATAACATTGTGGACTTCCTACATGCACTGCTGGGCTTCTGCATGGAGCCCATCACTGACAGTAAGTATGTGGCGTGTCTGAGCGGGGCGCACATCCTGAAACAAAAAACTTTGCACAAAGCAGAAGCTGTGAGGGATTAAACTGTGGGTTTGAATGCTAAAATCAAACAGGTTAGAATACTGTTCATTAGAATAAATTATTGTTTTTGTATATTCCTAAATATCTATGTACAAAGTACTATCCAATCATTTAGTAATTGACCCTCAATGATTTGAGTCTAAATGCAAAAGTCCTCACGATATTACAATGTTACAGTTTATCAGGCGTGTTGGCATAAACTGAAAAGTGGGTGTCATTACTCGATATAAACCATTGTCCGCCATCAGTCACATGTGCATTCACTTCATAATGATGTGTTGAACACGTTCTAGTAAGAAAAATATACAAAACCTGGAAATAGTCAGTGCTGTAGTGTATATCACACATGCATACATTTTTTTGTTCGCTTTTTGTAGCTATTGCTTTTATCATAACATCCAGTCATGCCTTTTGTAATAACTCTTTCTTTCTTTTGTAGTTTTTTTTTTTGGAGGGGGGGGCTAAAAATTTAACTTTTGTTTATATTATTTAAAAAAAAAACTAAAATCTTATACTAATGCTAACTCTAATGCTATTTTTACATTAGTATTTAAATTCTAACAAACAAAAAAAATGTTCAGACTAGTTTTAAATCATATTAAAAAAATTAAGATCAAAGTTCGTGCTCAATAATCCAGGTAGAAAATTCAACAAATTTCAGTCAGGTCATCTGGACTGTTTCTTTTTTTTCCCCTTCTTTTTTTTTTTATTGAGACGTTTCGTCCTTCATCCAAAGGACTTCATCAGTCCAAGGAGCCACAACAAACTGAGTCCCACAAGCAGCACACCCACATAGTGGACCAACCAGTTTGTTGGTGATGAGATGGTTTCTGGGGCACGCCCTCTCCCCCGTCGACTCTTCTGAGGCAGCCATAGCCAAAGTGGTTCAAAACATCAAAGTTCATGCTCAATAATCCACTTGGTCAGTCCACACTGTGCTTGTGCTGCTTGTGGGACTCAGTTTGTTTGTTTGCTCCTCAGACTGACGAAGTCCTTTGGATGAAGGATGAAATGTCTCCAAAAAAGAAAAGAAAAGAAACCGTCCAGATGACCTGACTGAACTTTGATGGAGCAGTAATAACAATACCATAAATATGTAAATACTAAAACTATGATCATGGAGCGATAATATGGAAGTTTTTGTTGTTTTGGTTCTAGAGAGTTGCACTTCAAGCAAAGTCGTTATGACAGAAAAATTTGGTGGTAGAACTGTGGTTTGCTCATGCCACCAAAATCAGTTGGAGACAAATTAGAGGATATATATATATATATATATATATATATATATATATATATATATATATTTTTTCTAGAAGGCACAGCATCTGTTCAACTCCTGTTCTGCATGTTTGCCTCATTTTGGACAGAGACTCATACGGAGCCATGACACCCACTGTTAAGTTTATTGTGTTATAACAGCATACCAACAAGTCAGACAAATAAAAACTGGTATCATCAGCAAATAGTTTTTCTTTTCAGTCCAAAACAAAATGCTTTTCCTTAAATAACATTTTAGACATAAAGCACATTGCCAACTTTAGCATACATACATTTTATTAAGTCTGAGACAACTTTTCTTTAGACAAAGCCTCAGAAAAAATACAGAAATGCTAATATTAGCATGCAAGTCTAAGAAAGTAAGTTTGTGGAAAAGGACAGCTGAAATGCTAACATTTGCCTGCACAAAGATTTTTTTTTTCACATTCTTGAGACAGTAATCCTTATTTTAGAAAATGTTTGAAGATAAAATACCTATATTGTTAACATTGGTCTACGTGAAGATTATATTAAGTTTAAAACCATAAGTCTCCCTTTTAGATATAGTTGAGTTAATGCAATAGCTAAAATACCAACTTTAGTCCACCGGAGGGTGTTTTTTTGTTTTGTTTTATTTGAGACCGTAAGTCTCTCTTCAGATAAAGTTTGGCAGGAAAAGATAGCTAAAATGCTAATGATAGCCTGGCAAGGGTTTGTTATATTTTTCAGTTTTTCAAATGTTTGCGACAGTAACACTTGTTTTAGATAACACTTTAGGAATAGACTTCTAACAAGGAAACCTTGGCATACACTTTTTTTTTTTTTTTTAAGTTTAAGCCTCTTTTTGGAAAACGTTTGGAGAGAAAATAGCTAAAATGCTAACATTAGCCTATGTAAGTTTTTTTTATGTTTTAAACAGGAATAGACAGCTAAATTTCTTACATTACCTACATAAAGATTATATATATATATATATTTGAAGCAATAAGGCTTTCTTTAGTTGAAGTTTGGGGGGCAAAGCTAGCTAAAATACTACCATTAGCATTCGTGATGGGGGGTTTTTGTGTTTGAAACAACAGACCTCTCTTTAGATACATTTTGTGAAAAAGACAGCTAAAATGCTAATGATAGCTTACATAAGGGTGTTTATTATTTACTTTTTAAATATATTTATTTTTTAGATGTTTGAAGCACTAAGCCTCTTCTTAGATAATATTTGGCGGGAAAAGATGGCAACAATGCTAACCTTAACCTACTCGAAAGTTTTTTATGTTTGAAACAACCGACCTCTCTTTAGATCGTTTTTTAGTATATTTATTATTTATTATTTATAGTTTTTTAGTATATTTATTTTTCAGATGTTTGAAACATTAAGCTTCTTCTTAGATCAAATTTAGCGGGAAAAAATGGCTACAATGCTAACCTTAGCCTACTTGACAGTTTTTTTTATGTTTGAGGCAATAGTCCTCTATTCTGATACAATGTGGGAAAACATCACCACTAAAATGCTAACTTTAGCCTATTTTAGGGCTTTTTTCAAACGTCTTTGACCTTTTAGATAAAGCTTATCAAACAAATAAACATTAGGGGAGATTCAATTAGTGAATGAGAAAATTTTTATTGTAATAAAAAGTCTAAATATTTGCCCATTTCATAAAATACTAATGCATACAAAGCTGTTGGATATTCAGTGCCTCACATGTGCTGTTCAGATAAACTCAAAGTAAAAGTTGTGTATTTAAATTTTGATCCTGCACTTTGACTGTGCTTTCCAGCCTTATCTCTGTTTGTCTTTTCCTCTTCCTACTTTTCACTTGTCTCTGCTTGTTTGTGTCCCGTTTTTGTCATCTTCCTCCCGCTTTTATCCTCCTTTTTTCTTTATCCATGTAAACGAGTTGAATCCTGCCCTTTTTTACTCACTCATCTATTCTGTACACTTGCCAATCTGATGCTTTACCCATCACATTATTGCTCAGTGGGCTTTTATCTCAGGGCATCAAGATGCATTTTACGAGCCAATTTCCGTTTTGCTCTGAAGTTTTAAGTATTTTGTGCACCATGTCATACAAAATACTGTGCATTTGGCAAGTTACTGAACTGATGAGTGTTTTTATTGCTGAAAGTAAACAGGGGCACCTCCTATGGTTTTTGATGTTACTTTTGAGCCTTTATTTTTGTTTGTTTGTGTGCGTCTCGGAGTTCACCTCCTTGTGGAGGTGGGGTGCCACGTTCTTTCTGAGACCACCTACATGTCTGTGCTGGCCTGATGTCAATCAACTTGTGCCCCGCCTCTTTTCTCTTGCAGAGTACGGCAGTGCAGGTGAGAGGTCCAGGAGGGCGAAAAAAAGAAACATCGGTAGATACACATGATCAATAACTAATACCAGTCAATATTCTAAGCTATAAGATGAATATACGCAGACCCTTCCCTAGGCACCGCTTTCATTGCTGCACCCCCTCACTCTGTCCGAAAGTGACGAACTCGCCTGCAACTCCTAAATTTCACTTGTTTAATGAATCTGACTTTTCTCTAGCTCTTCTCTTTCCAACTTTTATCTAACTGGACCAAAAACGATCAGGGCCCTGTTCTGTGTTTGTTTAAAGCAGGCCTTAGTCACTTGCATGTAATCCTTAATCCCAGAATTCTTTTGAGTTTGCTTCTTCCCCCATATGCTTTATGAACCCCTTTTCTTTACCCCTTCCTGTTGTACGGGCTCACAACTCAAGCTGGTCAGCTGTCAGTAATGCCCCCTCACCCATCCACCTAATGACTAAACTACCTCCTGTGTCATCTGTGGTGTCTCCTGCCTTCCTGCTGCTTCCAGACAAGGCGGGCTTCGGCAACAACTTTGCCACGGGGGACAACAAGTCGCTGGCTCAGAACATGGAGGCGGTGGTGGTGGGCTGCATGTTCAAGTCTCTGATCACCCGCTGCGCCTCGACCACGCACGAGCTGCACAGCCCCGAGAACCTGGTGAGTGTGGCGTGGAATCGTTTCTCCCCTCGGCTTCATTCAGTCACAACGTCACACGAGCGCCATAAGATTTGAAACAACGTTGAGTAAATTCTGATAATTTTCTGCAGAGGAATAATGTGTCCTGTAGCGTTTTTAGTGATCCATATTAGTCCTTATGCACAATATATAGGTCGAAATGATCAAATGTGATCAATTTGTGATGTTTAATTTTTTTAGCTCTGGAGCTAACATCATAAATACTAGCTTTAGAGCTGATGTGAAAGCGGAGTCATTATTTCATATTTGTCAGTTCAAATTAAAGGGCTGAACATCAAATAATATTCAAAATAAACATTCAAACTGAATATTAAATGCTGAATATTCATGCTGAATAATCCGGGTAAAAAAATCCAACAAAGTTCAATCAGGTCATCTGGACGGTTTCTTTTTTGTTGTTGTTGTTGAGACGTTTCGTCCTTCATCCATAGGACTTCATCAGTCCGAGGAGCCACAACAAACTGAGTCCCACAAGCAGCAACACTCACAGTGATATTCATGCTTAATGGAGCTTTCACCAAAGCAATCTGTCTACATTATTTACCCAGAATGCATTGCAACCTAAATAATATTGCAACATCCGTGTAAATTAATTAGATGTAACCTTATTGATCTCTTGGGAAGATTCCCTCAGGGTCATTAAAATAAGTGTGTGAATAATATTTTTTTTAATCTAAAACTAAACAGCCTAAAGTAGTTTTTGGTCTAATTTTTTATAGCTGAAGTAATTGTTTACCAAATAAGATTTATTGTTCCAACTAGTTTGAGATCCCTTTAAGAAAACAATCATTGAATGTGATACAAAATGTATTAATCCCCTTGGATGTTTTATGCTGATATTGCTGTCATAAATCAACATTGGTCAGCATAAATTGTCCTTCTTTACATTATTTATATATTAATATGACTTTTTTCTAAAAACACTTCTTCAATGTCAAAGTGATATACAGTAAGACCAATTCAGAAAAGGATTATTAAAAAGTACAAGTTTGGGAATGGATGCAAAAGAATTTCCAAGGTCCAAAACATCTCTAGGAGTTCTGTTGAACCCATCATCAAGAAATGAAATGAATATGGGACTTGTGTAAATCTACCAAGAGCAGGCCGTCCTCACAAACTGAGTGACCGTGCAGGAAGGAGAATAATGAGAGAGACCACCAAGACTCTGAAGGAGTTACAAGCTTCAGCAGGTGAGATGGGGGAGACTGAGCATACAGCAACTGTTGCCCGAGTTCCTCATAAGTCTGAGCTTTATGGGAGAGTGGCAAAGAAAAAGATGCTGTTGATGAAAACTCAGACTAAATCAGGACTAGAAGTTGTCTGTACAATTGAGACTGTAGTGCAGCTGGCGTTTTTACAAACTCCACACCACAGCTTGTGAAAAATACACCAGTTTGCTTTCAGTCAGCTCACACTCCCACTCTCACTCCTCCTTTGCAGGGTCTGTACTGCGACATCCGCCAGCTGGTCCAGTTCATCAAAGAGGCCCATGGGAATGTGTTTCGCAGGGTGGCACTGAGCGCGCTCCTGGACAGCGCTGAGAAGGTCACCACCACCAAGAAACCCGACGAGAGGGATGACAATAAACTGCTCGGACTTCGGAGGTACTGGGCCTCGTGTTTTCTCTAATCAACTTTTCAATTCATATCAACAAATAAAGTCCAACCATAGTAACAATCAGATCAATGCTTCTCATCACAGCTTGAACTTTTATTTATTTCTCATGTTTTTTTCATCCTGTCAACATTTGTGGTTTTTATTTGGGTAACATTTTCAAAGTAATATGCATAAACATGAGGAGGAACTTCCACTGTGTTGTTCATATTATTTGACCACACACAGCATCATTAAGATCCAAACTACATCTATCTTGTGTTTCTTTTCACCGGTGGTCAGGGTTAGTTGCTGTTGAATAATAGGACACTCAATGTAAAAAATATAAGAGAATATAAGAAAAGTCCATCCATCCATTCATCCATTATCTTCAGCTTGTTCCGAAGTCTGGTCGTGGGGGCAGCAGCTTGAGCAGAGGAGGCCCAGACATCTCTTTCCACAGCCACCTCTTCTAGCTCTTCTGGGAGGACTCCCAAGTTATTCCCAGGCCAACCAAGAGACATAGTTTCTCCAGCATGTCCTGGGTCTTCACTGTGGTATCCTCCCAGTTAGACATGCCTGAAGAACTTCCCTAGGGAGGCGCTCAAGAAGCATCCTTACCAAATGCCCGAACTACATCAACTGGCTCCTCCTGATATGAAGGAGCAGCGGTTCTACTCTGATTCTCTCCCGGATAACTGAACTTCTCACCTCAACTCTAAGGAATAGTCCAACTCTTTTAGTCACTACCCAGAGTTTGTGGCCATGGGTGAGGGTAGGAACATAGACCGACCAGTAAACGAAGAGCTTCACCTTCTAGCTCAGCTCCCTCTTGACCACAATGGATTGGCACAGAGTCCACAATACTTCAGACGTTGCACCAATCGTCTGTCATTCTCATGCTCTATTCTTCCCTAACTCTTGAACGAAACCGCAGGATACTTGAACTCCTCCACTAGAGGCAGAACCTCACCCTCGACCCGAAGAGAGAAATCCACCCTTTTCTGACTGAGGATCATGGCCTTAGGTTTGGAGTTGCTGATTCTCATCCCAGCCACTTCACAGTTAGCCACAAACTTCTCCAGTGAGAGCTGAAGACCCTGGCATGATGATGTGTCAACCAAGACAGCCCACAACATGAGTTGTGCCTTAAGTGCCTTAAGGAAATCAGAGCGGACCTCATCCACCCCTGAAGAACTGCCACCGCAAAACCTTTGAACTACCTTCAGCCACATTTATGGACAGACAAACCCCAAAGTCCCCCGACTCAGCTTCCTCCATGGAAGACGTGCCAGTGGGATTGAGAAGATCTGAGAAGTATTCCTTCCACCTCTTGATTATATCATTGGCTGAGATCAACAGCACCCCACCTTCACTGAACACAGTGTTAGTAAAGCACTACTTTCCCTTCCTCAGACACCTGATGATTTGCCAGAATCTCCTCGGGGCCGACTGAGAGTCTTTATCCAAGACCTCACTGAACTCCTTCCACATTCAAGCTTTTGCTTCAGCAATATCCAAGGCTGCAGACCACTTGGCCCTCCAGTACTTCTCAGCTGCCTTTGGAGTCCCACCAGCCAACAAGGCCTGATAGGACCCCTTTAACTTAACAGCCTCCCTAACCCATGGTGTCTGCCATCGAGTTCATGGATGACCACTACAAAAAGCACAGTCAACCTCAAGGCAGCCACCTCTATAAATGAGGCTGAGACATGGTCCACTCAGACTCTATGTCCCCTGCCTCAGCTGGGTTGCAGCTAAAGTTCAATTCAAATTCAAAAATACTTTATTAATCCCAAAGGGAAATTATTATTTGTTGTAACTTATTATCCTCATTTCATTAAGAGATGTTATAGATACTGATGACTGTAGGCAGGAAGGATTTCTTGTAACGGTCCATCCCACAGTGGATCCTAAGAAACTGGCTACAGATGCCGTCTGATCCGTCCACCCAGACTCGGCTGGCCTCTCGGTTCCCCCGGGCTGTAGGACCACCTGAATGCCTGGCAGAACTCCTCCCAGAACGCCTCCCAGAGCGATGGCCACTCCTTCCAGCAGCCTGCTGAGCTCCTCGTCGCTGCAGACAGCCAACTGTAGGTGCCGAGGGACGATCCTGTCCTTCCGCTGTAATGAGCCATGTTTCCTGGTAGTTCCAGGATCTCAGTGGTCAGGCACTTGAGCACAGCTGGCAGGTAGATGAGAATGCGTCCACAGAACATCCTTTCAACTCATTTGAGATTTGGGGCTGTAGTTGAGATATTATTTGAGCTTTTGAGATGTTAATCAGCTGCTTTTGGTTGCAAAAAACTGCCTTTTAGCCATGGTTATGCATCATAACAAATGTCCAAAATTAAAAAAGTTTCAGTAAAAATCCTTCCAACTGTACAGCATCCGATACCAGAGGAAACAATCATCCAAAAAATGTAATTTACATCCAGAAAAAGAGGAATTAAAGTTTCCAAAAGTAAAATCTCAGAATGAAAGAAACAGAGCTACTCCAACATGCAGCCACCTTGAGTGGCGCAATTCTATAAATAGTTCTCCCGGAGGTGTCAGTTGAAGATCTTTCTGATGGGATTTTCTACCAGGTTTGTCCGTCAGCTTCCCTCACCATCTGATTCAACTCACTACCAGGTGGTGATCAGTTGATGGCTCAGCTCCTCTCTTCACCAGAGTGCCCAAAACAAATGGCTGCAAATCAGATGACATGACTACAAAGTCAATCATCGATCTATGACCTAGGGCATCCTGGTGCCAAGTGCACTTATGGACACCCCTTTGTTCAAACATGGTGTTTGTGATGGACAAACTATGACTAGCTCAGAAGTCCAACAACAGAACACTTCTCGAATTCAGATCAGAGAGGCTGCTCCTCCCAATCACGCCCCTCCAGGTCACGCTGACTTTACCCATTTGGGCATTGAATTCCCCCAGCAGAATAAAGGAGTCCCCACCTGGCATACCTTCCATCATCGCCGCTAAGGACTCCAAGAAGTTTGGATACTCTAAACTGCCATTTGGCACGTAAGCACAAAAAGCTACCCTCTACTGGGGAAAACTCCCAACACACAGGAATCAATTTGGGGGGGTAAGATTATACCAACACCAGCTCGATGCCTCTCACCATGGACAACTCCAGAGGGGAATAAGATCCAGCCCCTCTCAAGGAGATTGGTTTCAGAGCTCGCGCCTTACATCAAAGTGAGCCCATGTTTAGTTGGTACCTCTCAATCTCACGTACAAGCTCAGGTTCCTTCCTTGCCAGAGAGGTTACATTCCATGTCCCTAGAGCCAGCTTTGGTAAGCTTGGGTCAGAGCACCAAGGACCCTGCCTTCAGCCACTGCCCATGGAGTCATGCACCCAACTCATGCCCCTCCTACAGGTGGTGGGCCCACAGGAAGGCAAAACCATGTTGCTTGTTTGGGTTGAGCCTGATCTCAGTGACCTTGAGCTTGCCTGTGGGCCCCTCCCACTGTCCTGGCTCCAGGGTGGGGCCCCGGCAACCCATGTCCAGGCAAGGGACACTGAACCCCTTACTTTTTTCTGTCCATAAGAGTCTTCGGAATCGCTCTTTGTCTGACCTGTCACCTAGGACCAATCTGCATTAGGAGACCCTACCAGGGGCAATTATAATTAGAGCCCCGACAGATAGATCGGTAGAGCCAATATTTTAGACCGATATAGACGTTTGGGTTACATATCATATCAGTGATAAACACTTCCAAATTTCATTCCTAAAATGCTAGGAATGAGCCATGTCCTTTCTCGCAAATGGCGTTAAGTGTACAATGTATCCAGTAGAGGGCGCATGCGGACTAGTTTCAAGTTATGGCCATGATGCACACTTGACTCATTGCACAGCCGAAGCAGGGAGCAATACTGCGTATCGTATTTTGGTGAAAAGAGCATGGTAAATGTTTTGTAACTGATCTGTAAACAAAATAAAAGTCAACAATAATGAATTCTCCTCAATCCTCTAACCCGCTTGTCATTAGCTAAGTGCCTTTCAGTTAGTAGGCTAATGTTTAGATAATCTAGCATAGGCCTTTGCCTTGTAAAACTTTAGCCAGAACATTAAATCTAACATAGAGGTAAAATATATCATAATTTCCTTCTCGGTTAAAAAAACATTGCTGAGGTCAATACTAATTAGTGACACCATCCTCAGGTTTTAGACCCATATGCAGGCAGGCATGGAGCTCGGATATATTTAAAATAAAGAGTTTATTAAAAAATAAAAAAAAAAAAGGTTGACAAGGCAGCAAAACTTACTCAAGCGCAGGGCGAGCATAAACTGAACAGAACTAAATGTCAGGCAAGTACGGAACAGGACATCAGGTAACAGGCTCAGACATAAAGGAACGGAGGAGGACTGAGTCATCTGTGCGAAAACAGAACAATGACCGAACGCAGAGTGGTGGAGAAGAGAGCTTTAAATAAGGCAGAGGGAGAGTGAGTAATGAATGCACCTGGGCAGGTGGCTGATTAGGGACAGGTGTGAATGATTAGATAGAGGCTGGAGAGCCAGGCTGAGGAGTGAGAGGAAAATGACAGAAAACACAGAGTAAAATACATAAGGAACAGAATCGCACAACAAGAAGCAGAATGAAATAAACAATAAACACAACGAGCAGAAGAAGGAGAAGACATAGAAATACAAAGAAAACAGACAAGGGACAGACTGTGTCATAACCCCCCTCTCAAGGGATGGCTCTTGATGTCCCCAAAGACCACAACAAAGAAAAACAGAATGGGTGGGAGGGAGAGGGAAACGAGTACGGAAGGCACAAAAAAAAGAAAATGAAACTGGCAGGACTAGGCCTGGGAGCAAATATAAACAAGAACACAAACTTTCTATAAATGGCCCTGGGTAACATTCAAAGATGGCAAGAGTTCAATTGGACGGTCCAGAGACCGTCCTGAGCAAAGCCAGAGTTCAGGTGGGCAGTCCAAAGTTAGACCGGAATCCAGGTGGACGGCCTGAGGACCGTCCAGAGCTTGACCAGAGTTCAGGTGGATGGCCTGGGGACCATCCAGAGTGGGACCAGAGTTCAGGTGGATGACCCTGGGACCGTCCAGAGCGGGACCAGAGTTCAGGTGGATCGTCCGGGAACCATTGAGAACGGAACCAGATTTCAGGTGGACAGCCCGGGGACCATCCAAAGCAGGACCAGAGTTCAGGTGGATGGTTTGGGGACCGTCCAGAGCGGGACCAGAGTTCAGGTGGATGGTCTGGGGACCGTCCAGAATGGAACCAGAGTTCAGGTGGACAGCCCCGGGGACTGTCCAGAGTGGGACCAGAGTTCAGGTGGACAACCCTGGGACAGCCCAGAGCGGGACCAGAGTTCAGGTGGATGGTCCAGGGACCATCGAGAATGGAACCAGAGTTCAGGTGGACGGCCCGGGGACCATACAGAGCGAGACCAGAGTTCAGGTAGAAGGCCCGGGGACCATCCAGAGTGAGACCAGAGTTCAGGTGGATGGCCCGGGGACCATCCAGAGTGGGACTAGAGTTCAGGTGGATAGCCCGGGGACTATCAAAAGCGGGACTAGAGTTCAGGTGGACACTCAGAGACCATCCCAAATGAGTCCAGAGTTCAGATGTCACAGGGGAGGCTGTGGTGACAGATGAGAAGACTTCAGGGAAGGACGGAGTGGGACCAGTGATGATGGTGTTTGCAGAAGACAGACCAGACATGATGATGTTGGCAGAAGTTGGACCAGAAGTGATGATGGTAGTGGCAGGAGTCGGATCAGACAGGGTTTCAGCAGTTGTCGGGTGTTGTTTACAGAGGTGATTTGTGGAAGTGAGCCCATGCAGTGACATCCAGAACAAAATTAATCTGTTTTTGTCCTCATCGCAGAGCAAAAGGGGAAATTGAAAATGCCCTCTGTCGAACCATCTGTCTGTGCATGTTATGATTGCAGTAATTTGAAAGTTAAATGAAGTATTGACTTACATTTCAGTCCATGAAGCAGCTAGTAGTAAGAAAGATTCCTAAAGAAAACTGGGTTGCCATGTCAAAATCCAAGATGGCCACCACTATATATAAACCTTGTGAACTGGATAACTTGAAAAATATGCAACGGGCCAACTTTTATTGTGTGGCTACGTCTAGTTTTAGAAAACGTGGACTGACATGTCAAAATTCATGATGGCCACCACTGTCTATATAAATACTGGCCACCAGGGCTTAATTTGTAAACTGATCAATGCCAGAACGCAAATAGTGGGTGGGGGTGGGGTCTGGGGTCCTCCCCCAGAAATTTTTGAATAAAGTAGATGTGATGTACTACATTTTGGTGTATTTTAATGGGTTGTTAAACATCTATGCTTACCTACATTTGTAAACATGCCGCTTCTGTCAATCATCCCCCCCTTACTTGATGGAACCGTCAAGTAAGTCGCTCTCGGAACCGAGCCCAATTCTGTCCCTGCTCGTTGTTGTCCGACTCAACATATGAAACCTCCAGGCCCTTGCCTGCAGCTGCCTGGTTAGCTGGTCATTCACCCCCACCACTCTTAGGGGCAGAGAATTGTTTAAGGGTAGACACGGAAATGCTACTGGAAGGGGCAGCTTATATGTTCGTAAGTGGCTGTTGTGTTTAAAATTAGTGTTTATGTAATTATTTTCTGTTTGCATATCTAATATTTTTTATTTGTTCAAGGCAGTCATATTTGTTCATAACTTTAATATTAGTAAGCCTGAGAGTTACCGGATCCGAGAAAACACTATCGGAACACAGCCTGTCAAAATAAGAATTCCCTGATCCTGTTCCAGCAGGATCTGGCTCAAATTAAGCCCTGCTGGCTACCACTATTGTTGAAAGAAAATACACTTTCTAGTCTCTTTATGAAAAGAAACCATCCATCATTAAACAGGGGTGGAGGCCTCCGTGTTCAACTGTCCCCCTCTTACAATGCTGTTATTGCTAGTATCACTCAGCTCTCTGTGAATAGCAAACAGCCATCAGGGTGCTAATGATCCATCGTTAGGCTGATGGTCCTCCTTGATTATGTGAACAGCTGGTTTTGGCTGTCATCAGTAAACTGGTTGATCCACTATGAGAAGGTGCTATTTATAAGACTGAGCTGAATATAGCACCTCATACTGAGGAAGTCTTTCGGATGAAGGACGAAAGGTTTCTACCATTTTTTTTGTTTTGTTTTGTTTTTTGAATGTCCAGAGGACCAGATTTAACTTTTTTAGATTTTTCTACCTGGATTATTGAACATGCATCTGAACATTTTCTAGTTGTTACATTGCTCAAAAATATAGTTTTCTCAAATGACTGGGGTGTCCAAAGATTAATCAATGGTGGTCAAGTCCACCCCACCCCCCCACCTTCATCGTCGTTCAGGCTGGTGGTGGATAAAATTGCTCTCTCCACTCACCAGTATCTGTCACTCTGCACTGCTTCGGACAAGAATAAAAAAAAAAACTCCCTCTATTTTTCTCCACAGTGTAACTCCTTCCCACTTGAATATCTTGCACCAAAAACATTTTCTCTGTTCAGTTCCAGTCCAGAAAAACACAGAAACATTCACTATTGAAACCCTTCAGCGACAGGGACATTGGTACTGGTAAAATATGTAATTAGTTGGAAAATACTCCTCCATCTATTTATTTATTATGTTTTCTGCTTTTATTAAAACCTGTCTTTAAGAAATGACATCACAGAGAGTACGAATAACTTTAAATAGCTTCAGTTATTTGAGCCTTTTAGTTTTCCTTAAGACTTCTCTTCATTATTTTACTTAAACATTTCAGTTTTGTACCAAAAATATCTGTACAAATAAACTTTAAAAAGGAGAAAAACAATCTGTATGTTTGAACTAGCTTAGCTTAGTTTTTGTTTTAAAAATGATCCTGGTGGTGTCTTCATTTTCGGTGGTCCCGACTACCACTGACGCACACTCTTGTGTGTATGTGTATGTGTGTGTGTGTGTGTGTATGTGTGTGTGTGTGTGTGTGTGTGTGTGTGTGTGTGTGTGTGTGTGTGTGTGTGTGCAGGTCTGAGGCATGTGTGTCCGGGGAGAAGGGTCTGGTGTCCAGTGCTGCAGATGAGTGTCGCAGCTACATCTCCAGCAGACCCCCCCAGACCCCCGAACAGTGAGTGTTCACCAGCCAGCATGCTCATGAAACATCCTCCACCCAGCTGTCATTTCTCTGCTCACATTAGGGGGAAAAAAACTCTCTTCCTGTCTTGACTCAAATTTTTCCTTTTGTCCATAAACGTTCAAATCTTTCCCTTTTGTGCACCGCCAGTGACGAACAGATCCCGGGTGCTCTTCTTGGCAGGAAAGATTTCTGGAGGAAGATGTTCAAGTCTCAGAGCGCCGCCAGTGACACCAGTAGCCAGTCAGAGCAGGACACCTCGGAATGCACCACGGCACACTCCGGCACCACCACGGACCGCCGCTCCCGATCCAGATCCCGCCGCATTTCGCTGCGCAAGAAACTCAAACTCCCAATCGGTGAGTGGATGTTGAATATAAATGTTTCTGAGCAAAAGTCTAGCCTATTTCTAATATTAGGGCCACTCAGAGGAAGAACAAAAAAAAAAGTTGTTTATTCATGTCATGAGAATAAAGTGTAAATATTATCAACAGAAACGTGTCACTTCTATTGAAAGAAATGTTGGTTACGTACTGTATCCCCAGATTCTATGAATATAGGCTTCACCCTTTAAGGCTGTTGCTGATGGGTTTTATCCCGCCACTCAGGAGCCAGTGAGGCCCGACGCTTAAAGGGCTACACCTATACTCATAGAATCTGGGGTTACGGTACGTAACCAATGTTCTATTTTGTATAGGCTTCGCCCTTTAAGGCTGTCGCTAATGGGTTAAAGGCGAAGCAGATGTGGTCCTCACCTCCGAAAGGCACCGAAATGGTGTCTCACTCAGAAAGCGGTCACGCCTCCTCTCAGTGCACGCTGGCTCATCTCAGCTCTAATGTGAGACCGCAGCCTGGGCTCAGCATAGAGGCACACATACAGCCCTTTTCTGTCGGAGCCCCCCCCCCCCCCACACACACACCTCCCCGGGTTCCCCCCCGGAGAACTCCGGAGCGGGTGATGGCAGTAAGGGTTTTTAGTCTGGTTGACGTTCATGAGGAACATGACACAACACAAAATGTGTGCTCGCTCCCTGAGCGTTACTCAGTGGCAGCGAGTGTGCTCCCTGGACAGATGGATGGACCGTCTGATCAGCAGGGGGTACACGCTGCAGTTTGCAGATCAACCCCCACCGTTCAGAGGGATTATAGCGACGTTTCTGTATTTTCCAGAACAGAGCTCATTTCTCCTGTCAGAAGTTCAGGAATTCCTGATGTAAAATGTGATTTCCAGAGTTCCCAATGGAGAGGAAAATACTTTTTTCCCCCCCTTCCACTACTTCCTGGTTCCAAAAAAAACCGGAGGGATGAGACCCATTCTCGACCTGTTCATGTTCAACAAATCGATCATAGAGAGACAATTCCACATGCTGACAATCAAACTGCTGCTGGAGAACTTCACCAGAACGACTGGTTCACCTTCATAGATCTGAAGGGCACATATTTTCACATTTCCATCATCCCGAAACACAGGAAATTCCTGCGTTTCTCCTCCAGGGGATTCCGTATCAGTACAACAGGCTACCATTCGGTTATTACCTCACCCACGCACGTTCGCAATATGTGTGGAGACGGCTCTGCAATCATTACACATGGCAGGAATGAGAATTAATTTTTATCTGGACAATCTGCTTTTATTAGCTCGGTCCAGATAGGAAGCAGTCGCACGGACCAAAACGCTAGTGTTACACCTGCTAAACCTGGGGTTTCTATAAACTGGGAAAAAGTTCTGTTTGCCCGTCGCAGATGATTGTTTATCTGGGAGTGGAGTTTAGCTCCACTCCCAGATAAACAGAAAAACTGTTACTTGAAAATTATTGTGATTGAACTAATTGTTTGAAAAAAGGGGCAGATATAATAAGATTTTTTCTTCTTCTGCTGCCTTTCATTTTAAACCTCTTGTATATTTTTTATACTGTTATGGAATTGTTTTGTATTTTTTAAAATGAATAAACTTTATACCATACCATACCAAACTCAACCACAATGAGAGCCCGTTTATCACAGCCAAGAGCCGAAGCTCTGTCAGCTCAGCTCCGCCGTGTCAAACCCGACAGCGTAGTGACAGCTCTGCCTGTCATGCAACTCCTGGGATGATGTCAGCGGCCCACGTCATAGTTCCGCTGGGTTTGCTTTATACGAGACATCTTCAGAGATGGTTCGCCCGCCTGCGCATAGATCCTGTGCGCCAAAAGAGGCGGATTATCTCTGTGCCCCCCTCCATGAGAACCGATCTGAATCACTGGGGAAACCCCCTCATTCTGTCAGAGGGAGTTCCCATCAGCAGGCCTACGTCACACGTCTCAGTTTTCACAGACGCGTGTTTGTCCCAGGCAGTGGGAGCACAGTGGCTGGACCATATGTCGCTTCACATAAATGTGCTAGAATGTTTCACTGTCTGAAACGTGACAGCATTTTTTTTCCCTGCTGCGGGATCAGCATGTTCTGATCCACACAGACAACAAAGGGACAGCAGCTTACATAAACCGTCAGGGAGGCGTGCGCTCAGCCCAACTGTTACGCATCGCGAGACAGCTGCTGTGTTGGGCACACAAAAACCTGCTCTCCATCAGAGCAGTGTACATTCCCGGCGTCCTGAATAGGGGAGCGGACATAATGTTGAGTGGCAGTTCCCGCCATAGAGACTGGAGCCTCCATCCCGAGCTGATTTCTCGGATTTGGAGCAGGTTCGGCCGAGCAGCAGTGGATCTGTCCGCCACACGGGAGAACGCCCAGTGTCAATTATGGTTCTCACTGAGCCCACAAGACGACCCACCGTTAGGAGTGGACGCCTTTGCTCACAGCCTGTGGCCAAAAATGCTCCTTTATGCATTTCCTCCAGTCCTGCTGATATCACGGACCATGGACCGGGTCCGGGAGGAAGAGCTGTCAGTCATCCTCGTAGCTACCGAGCGCATAAGTGCTCCGTGGTTTCCGAATCTGCAGCGACTGATATCGGGTCGGCTGTGGAAATTGCCGTGGAGGGAGGACGCTCTCCTCCAGGCAGGAAGAGTGTTCAAGAGTTACCCAGAAATAGGTCAGCACCTTTGGGTCTGGCCGCTGAACGGATCCATTTAGAAAAGATGGGCCTCCAACAGGATGTGGTGAGTACGATTCAGGGTGCATGAGCCGCTTCCACCACAACGATGTACACATCAAGTGGACAGTTTTTAGCGTTGGTGCGCAGAGAAAAGAGTGGAGGCCATCTCATGCCCACTAGGTGGTGTGCTGTCATTTCTACAGCAACTGATGGACAGAAATTTAGTGTTCAGCATGTAGTGGACTAGGCCTACGTCGAAACTAAGTCTAAGGTCAAAACTCTTGACCTTTAGAACCTTGTGGGACAGAAGCTGTCATTTCATGTATTTGAATCCATAAATACAGGTTCACCCATCCTGAGACTTTCTTTCTTGAAGATTCAAGTGAAAAGAACACTCTCTTTTTATTATCATTACTATCTTACAAATGTTGATAATCAAAGTGTCTTAGTTCAAACCATTTTAGATGTTGCAGTGAACTAATCAATTTTATTAACTGAGTAATGATTTTTATTCTCATGTTAAAAGCTGTTGCAGAGTTTATGCATTTTCTGATTTCTGCTTTTGAATGAGCAAGTGTGTGCGTTTCCAAGGTTACAGTCAAACGGAAAACAAGTTGTTATGTTAAAACTGTCATGTTTTAGAATCCTCGCAGACGTAAATAGAGATGTTTTGCACCTGTTTTTAAACACGCCAAAACAAAACCCTCTCGGTCTGTGAGAACATTTCTGAGCTGTCCCATAACAATTCTCGCTGTCTCTAACCTCTTACGTCACAAAACCCACCCCGTCTGGTCGTTTCTGACCAATGAAAAATCCCAAAAAGTGAACCGGGAAAGAGTCTTTAAAATGTCAGTACTTCCTGGTCTACACGGAAGCACAGAGTTTGGAGAGTGGTCAGACTTCTAGAGAGTTGGAGAGTTGTCGGAGTTCTAAGAGTTCTGAGAGCGTAGAGTTCGGTGAGAGTCTACTCAAGTTCTGCTGAGTTCTGATGGAGTGCTGTTGGAGTTCCTGACATGACAACAAAGCTCTCCCGAGTTCCATGGGATTATAACATTTTCCACTGAGGTGAATATGTGTCGAACAGAGCCTCGCCATTACTTCGGACGAGTAACAGCATCCTACTGAGACGCTGAAAGGGTGCGTTAAACGGAATCTCACCTGAGACATCTCCAGGTAAAGGAGCCGATTTCATCACCTAAGTGTACTGTATGGAAAAGCTGAAGAAAGCCGGAGAGTGTCGATTCTGGTGAACACTTAATTTCCCTCACATACCATCTTAACTCCCTTTAACTTCTTTCATCTTTAACTTTCTATCAAGTAGAAATTCTCCCAGATATTTAGAAATGTCTGTGTAAAGTGCTTATTCACATCCGTGTGGGTAAAAGATCATAGTTGTACAGTTTTATAAATGTTTGTGGTGCAGCAACGAAAAATCATGGCCGTATGATTTTTCCTGATTGATTGCTTATATTGTTATTTTCATAATTTGCCAAATTAATGTAAATGTTTGATGTTAAATTTGATTCTGTAAATAAATGACCGCATTCATTTTGATGGGTCAAATTTAAATGACGTCTCACGTTTGCCTTTCCTTAAATTCAATGCACGTTTTATTCAGTCCAGAAAAATGAAGAACCCGCGTTAAATGATGAATATATCCCAGCATCTGTTCATCTACAAGCATAATAAAAACTTATGCTGCAGCTATTTCTTCCTGTCATGAGGTTTTTCGGTGACAGAACAGTTTTTAACCACCTGCTGATGAAGCGTTTTTCTGAAAGGTGTACGGAGACACAGACCTGTGTCACGTCCACTAGCTCCACAGTGGGACCTAATGATGGTACTGCGCGCTCTGATCAAAGCTCCTTCTGAGCCTTTAGATCAGGTTTCATTTAAATTTCTGTCTTTTAAGACAGCCCTGCTGTTAGCTCTGACGTCGTGAAAACAATTATTTGTTGCTCGACATTATAGCAAAGGTGTGTCTCAGTTTTTTTCCTTAATAAATGCACTTTAATGGTCAAAACAGCTTCATTTTGCCTGCGGTGCGGCACCATCCATCCATCGTGGCTGGGGCTGCTAGCTCTCCAGCGTTCCTCCGTCTGCACCAACTGAGTGAAACGAGCATGGCGGACTCGCTGTTGCAGTTCTTCAAAAATTTAAAGCATCAGTAAAAAATTGCGTTATGAATATGGAAAAAAAAAAACGTACATAAGTCGCTTCGGTGTATAAGTCGCAGGACTGACAAATCTATGCAAAAAACTGTTACTTATTTGCCTGAAAATACTAATTAAATAGTAATTCAAACAGTTTCATTGGTCCACTGTGACCTGTTTTTTAATTTCATTGGTCTGATGTAACAAGGCTAAATGTTTTGGCGGCATGAAGCTCATTAGCCCGTAAAAATCCATAAATCATCTGCATCATTAGTGTTCAAAGTGTGTGGAAAAAAGTAGCAGCTTATAGTCTGGACATTACGGTACAAAAAGAACATACAATAATTTAGATGAGCCAGTCCAAGGTGTGGCATAATATTCTCGTTACAGCAGAACTTTTCAGTTTTTCTGTTGATAAGCTACACAACTCCCAAAACATAAAAACAACCTCCTTATCATTGTTCCTTCTTTGTGGCCCTCATGCTCTGTTGTGAGATTTTTTGTATTAAAGGTGACAGTTCATTTCAGCTACATTGTATATTTTCATGCTCATCTCTCTCTCTGATATGTTGTGCTCTGTATGTCCAACATCGCACCTTTTCCTGTCGAGAGGTCCAATCAGTTCATCATATTGGTCTGTTTTATGTCCCTTCTCTTGTGCCGTAGCGTGCCGGGGGACTGCCCGCCTTCCGCTCACTCGATCTGTCCTGCGTATGTTGGACGATGAAACCATCTCCATGCAGTGTTTGTGTCATTTCATGTTTGTGGTGGTCAACATGCCTCGTGTGCACGCTGTTTGACACCCGGATAACGTTTTTTCTTTTTTTTGCAAATTGTTTAAGCGCCTGCTTATTTTGCCCCTAAAATTCATAAAGTGACCTTAATGTTTTTATGTTTTGCACAACTATAAAGTCATATAGACTGATTGTAGACTTCTACTTTGGATTATTTGTTTGTGTTTTTTTTTTTTAATTATCTTTTTTTAGTTATGAATGGTTCAAGCTAGCGAGCGAGAAGGACTTGTACTGAATGGCAAGACAGAGGGATCAGGCTGGAAAGGATGTGCAGCAGGTTAGGCTTGGTAAAGATAGGAATAGTAATGTTCTAACAAGTGAGGAGAGTGTCATGGGAAGATGGAAGGAGTACTTTGAGGAGCTAATGAATGAAGAGAATGAAAGAGAAAGAAGAGTAGAGTTCATAGAAACTGTGGACCAGGAAGTGGAAAAGATTAGTAAGGGTGAAGTCTGGAAAGCTCTGAAAAGAATGAAAAAGGGAAAAGCATTAGGATCTGATGACATATCAGTGGAGGTTTGGAAATGTCTTGGAGAGATGGCAGTGAGGTTTTTGACTCAAATGGGTGAGAAAATGTCCGAAGAAAGGAGAAGTGTGCTGGTGCCAATTTTTAAGAACAAGGGTGATGTACAGAGTTGTAGCAACTACAGGGGAATTAAGTTGATGAGCCACACGATGAAGATCTGGGAGAGAGTTGTTGAAGCAAGACATCAACGAGAGGTGACTATCTGTGAGCAGCAGTATGGTTTCATGCCAAGAAAGAGCACCACATATGCCATCTTTGCTTCGAGGATGCTGATGGAGAAGTACAGAGAAGGTCAGAAAGAACTCCATTGTGTCTTTGTGGATTTAGAAAAATCATATGACAGAGTGCCGAGGGAGGAGGTGTGGTATTGCACGAGGAAATCTGGAGTGGCAGAGAAGTATGTTAGACTGGCACAGGACATGTATGAGGACAGCAGGACAGGGTGAGATGTGATGTAGGAGTGACAGATAGCTTCAAGGTGGAGGTGGGAGTGCATCAAGGATCAGCTCTGAGCCCCTTCTTGTTTGCTCTGGTGATGGACCGACTAACAGACGAGGTCAGGCAGGAATATCCCATGGACTATGATGTTTGCAGATGATATTGTGATCTGTGATGAGAACAGGGAACAGGTGGAAGAGAACTTGGAGAGGTAGAGGTATGCACTTGAAAGAAGAGGAATGAAAGTCAGCTGTAGTAAGACAGAGTACATGTGTGTGAATAAGAGTGAGACCGGTGGAACAGTGAGGCTCCAAGGAGAAGAGGTCACAAAGGTGCAGGACTTCAAGTACTTGGGGTCCACTGTCCAGGAAAATGGGGAGTTTGGTAAAGAGGTGAAAAAGAGAGTCCAGGCAGGATGGAGTGGATGGAGAAAAGTTTCAGGAGCTATGTTGTATGGTCTGGAGACAGAGACATGGACAAAAAGACAGGAGAAAGAACTGAAAGTGGCAGAAATGAAGAAGTTCAGGTTCTCCTTAGGAGTGACAAGGATGGATGAGATTAGGAATGAGATCATCAGAGGTACAACACAGGTTAAACAACTGTGAGATAAAGTTAGAGAGGCCAGACTGAGATGGTTTGGACATGTCCAGAGGAGGGACAGTGGCTATATTGGTAGAAGGATGTTAGAAATGCAGCTGCAGGAAAAAGACAAAAAAGAGATATACAGATGCAGTTAGAGAGGACATGGAGGTAGTTGGAGTGAGGACAGAGTGAGATGGAGAAGGATGACTCGCTGTGGTGACCCATAAAGAGGGAAAAACTGAAAGAAGAAGAAGAAGAAGAATGGTTCAAGCTATGACTTTATGAGACTGATTACTTTTTATTGACGTGAATAAAAGGCAGCATCAGCAAGGCTTCCTTGAAAATATAAAAATGTGAAACAAAGACAAAACAAAGGTTTGTAGCTTGTAATTCATAAAATGATCCCATCAGGAGAGTCAGCAGCTGTTCTCTGTGATGCACTTCGCCTTCTCATCTGAACGTTTCAAACTCTTAGCTTCTTGGCTTTTAGAATTAATGCTTACCGATTTGACTTTTTCTACTTTGTCTAAACTGGGGCGCATCTAGAACAAACCCTTTTCAAACCCTCTGTGTGCGTGCTCAGTAACGATGTGCGTGTCTGATGTTTGACCCTGCATGCGTTGTGTTCCTGACCCACTGTTTGGTTTGTTCATATTTGGATGTAATATCAAGTGGTTGTGGTTGTTCCAGGAAACTGGCTGAAGCGCTCCTCTTTGTCTGGGCTGACTGATGGCGTCGAGGACCTGCTGGATATCAGCTCAGTGGATCGACTCTCCTTCATCCGCCAGAGCTCAAAGGTCAGCTTCCATAAAACAGTCTCTGCCGCTCAGGTCTCAAACATCTGTAAAAGTTCCTTCAGTTTATTTGTTGTTGGGTATCCACGTTTCCCTCTTGGACTTGTTGACACCGCGAAACGTGGACACTCTCCAGCTCCTCCTAGGGAATCTTGATTGAGGTTTCCTTCCAGTGCTTGGAGAACCAGAGCCCAGCCACTTCACAGAGGAAGCTCATTTTGTATCCAAAATTTAATTATTTCAATCGTTATTCATACCCTGTGTCTGTACTCCTTCCTCACCACATCAAACTGGAGCAACAACCTCATTACTGTAGATAATTGATGCCCACTTCTGGTATTCCCGCATGCTTTTGTTGTTTCCTTGCTCTTTAGCAGGTGTTTGAGTTCTGCAAAAGCCTGTTAATCCCTCATTCATTCAGACCTGGAGTGTCAAAGCAAACATTTAAAATGTAGATGTTCCTGGTTGTCGATCCATTTTTTTTTCTTCATCCCGCCGTTTCTGGTAAAAATAAGACTTCCAGCTAGGGATCATTTCCCCTTTTTGTCCCTCATCGCAGAGTGAAGAGGGGGAATTAGAAATCCCCTCCATCTGTTCATCTGTGCATCTTGCGAGCATGAAAACTTTAAAAATTTGTAAAGTACCCACTTCCATTTTGTTGTGCGGCTGCATCTAGGTGCAAGAAATGTTCCTTTTGAAAATTTGGTTGTTCGGTCAAAATTCCAAGATGGCTGCTGCCAAAAATGTCCATCCGTGTTGTGAGCTAGATAACTTGAAAAAAAATTAAGGCATAAAATGCCATTTTGGTGTGACTACGTCTAGATGTAAGAAACGTTCCTTTCAAGAATTGGGTTGCCACATGAAAATCCAAGATGGCTGCCACTATATGTATATACAGTATGTAAAGATGGGTGATGTAAAGTGAGTTGGATGACTTTAAAAATAAGCAATGTGTTGACTTCCATTTTGCTGTGTGATTTCTACTAGGCATAACAGTCACTGTTGAAAATTGGGTTGCCAGGTCATCATCAAAGATGGCTGCTGCCTTAAATGTTCACCCAGTTGTGAGCATGATGTCTAGGAAAACTAGAGAAATTGCACTTCCTGTTAAAATGCAGTGTGAATGTTTATTGCAGAACTTGCTAAGAAACAGGTGAAATTAACTAAAAAACCTGCTGAAATGAAGTTGAAATGGAAGAACAAGCTTCAGATAGCAGAAGAAAGCAGAAAGAACACAGATTTGGCGAATTAGGTTTAAATAAGCAGAAATGAGCCACAGAAATGTGTAAATTAGCTGAAAAAGCTAAAATTAGAAACAAAAATTACTGAAACGTAACTATATAGTCAGAAAGAACCTTAAGCTACCAGAAGGAACTAGGAGGAGCTGAAATTAGCTTAATTTTTTATTGATTTAACTGGTAAAGCTCAATTTGGCATAAAACAGCTAAATAGTAGCTGAAATAGTAGAAACATCTGAAATTAGCAGAACTAAGCTGAAAGTAGCATAACAAACTGAAATTAGCATGAAGAAGTTAATTAGGCTGAAAGTAGCAGAAATTACCACAAAAACTTGAATTTATCTGAAAACAGCTAAAATTAGCTAAAAAATACTAAAAAGGTAGTTGAAAAGGTAGATCAAGCTAAATAAGCAGAAGAAAGCATAAAGAAGACATTTGCCCAATAAGGCTGAAAGAAGCAGATATGAACACAGAAAAATGGAAATTATCTGAACAAAGCTGAAATTTACAAAAGAACAGCTGAATAGTTGCTAAAGAAAAAAAAGCAGAAAGAAGCTTAAATTACCAGAAGGAAGTGGAGAAACACAACTGCTCCCAATTAGGCTAAAAGAAGGTTGGAATGGGTGCAAAAATGTAGAATTCGTTGCAAAAGCTAAAATTAGCATAAAACAGCTAAAATAGTAGCCAAAATAGCAGAAATTTTTAAAACTTGCATAAACAAGCTGAAAGGTGCATAACAAGCTGAAATTAGCAGAAAGAAGAAGCACAAAAATGTTGTAGTTTGCAGAAAGAACCTGAAAGGAGCACAAAACAGCTGAAATTAGCTGAAAGTAGCTGAAAAATGTGAAAGGAACAGTTAAAGGTTCTAAACGGATCTAAAGATATGAAGGATGTAAAATGAGCTCATTTCATTACCTATGAGGAAAAAAATGGCAGAAAAGACTAAATATTTCAAAAAGCTAAAGTTGCACCAATACCAAAAGTCCTAGCAGGATTGTCCTGAAAGAGCTGAACATTTTGATTATGATTTGTTGAAAAAGCACAAAAATTGTGGAATGAGAAAGATGCTGAAAAACTACAGAAGAAAAATGGCTCACAGTAGTGTGAATGTTTCATAAGCGTTCACACAACAAATGAGGTACCCACTTGAATTTTGTCGTGTAGCTGCATCTACAGTAGGCATAAGAAAGAACAGTGAAAAATTGGGTTGCCATGTCAAAATCCAGTCCAGTAAAACAGTTTTCTCAAACACTACAAACATTTAATGTTCAAATCCCTCAGTGACAGTGGAAATCGGCATACTGCTTGCTCCTCTAACTTGGGCCCTGTTTACACAACGGTGTTTTTAAGTGAAACGGGAACATTTTTGTTGCTATTTAGCTGTTTATTTACATGATAGTGATTGTTTTTTCTCACGCTGAAGGTTTTGCATCCAGATCCCAAAGTGGAAGTTTTTGTGAAATCACATGGCGGCAGTCAGCAGTTTTATCTGTCAAGTATTTTGTGTTCATGTGTTCCAGGTGAAGTTCACGAGCGCAGTGAAGCTGTCCGAAGGGGGCCCTGCAGGGCCGGAGTACGGCCGGGACGAGGAGGAGAATTTCTTCAAGCGGCTCGGTAAATGGAGGTCTGGCAGGAGGAATCCATCCAAGCTTCACCACACAGAAGAGAAAGATGGTAGACCTCCCCCACCCCGGGCTGTCCCACACTCCATCGTCTTTTGTCTTCTCCTCTTCTCTGTCCTCGTCCCTGTCTCTCCGTGTGGTGTTGTCTTGTCTCCTTCCACCAAGTCGTGGTGGTCTATTCCGCACCGACAGACCCGCTGTCCACCATCCTCCATGTCTGCTGCTAAATGTGGTCTGTGTTTGGATCGTACTTTGAATTGCTTCGATACAAAAAGCCTCCAGAAAGTCATAAAGAGCAATGCAGTGATGGCACTTTAATACCAGACGATTACAAACTCCCCCAGTTGAAGCAATAAAATACTACTGTACTTTGATCCAGACCAGAATTCAGACAGATTTAGGTCCAACCTGGTTCTTGTAGCTCAGTTATCGCACACTTTCAAGCCATACATATCTCTCCAGAAAGGATTTTTAGGCCATTTTGCAATTCAAATACAGCAATGTGACACAACGTCTATGAGACAGTCTTAGATTGGGTTACAGGAAATGTTCTATAAACATAATGGAGCCCAAATTTGGGGCAAATCATACCAGAGCAGGATGTGGCCCAAAACTGAAATGCAAATGATGGATTAAAAGGAACCTCATGTCTTGACAATATTGAGCTAACCTGCCTGACAGAGTTCCTTTGGCCATGCTCTGACCCACCAAATGATTTCTACATCATTTGGAGGGTCAAACAACTCTGGAATTAATTAGAGATAAAATTCAGTTCAGTTTATTTATATAGCTCCAAGTCACAACAGAAGTCATCTCAGGGCACTGAACAGAAACATTTATATATATATATATATGGACAAGCGGTCATCTGCTTCAACCGGCTGGGTTTGAGAGGAACAGGAAGGAGGAACAGATACACAATGGCAGGTCAAGAATCACATGTTAAGATAGAAATTATATCAAATGAAAACTATTCAATTGCAACAATTCATTTTAAGAAATTAGGTCAATTTGTCCTCCAGTAGTGTAAGCCTATAGCAGCATAATAAGCCAACCCTAACTATAGGATTTATCAAAAAGGAAAGTCTTAGTCCCAGTCTTAAAACTGGACAATGTGTCAGCCTCATGGACAGAAACTGGAAGTGGGTTCCACAAGAGAGGAGCCTGATAACTGAAAGATCTTTCTCCCATTCTGCTTTTGGAAACTCTAGGAACCACAAGTAAGCCTGCAGTCTGAGAGTGAAGTGCTCTGTTAGGAAAATATGGAACAATAAGATCAGTAATAGAAGATGGAGCTAGGTTGTTGAGGACTTTGTAGTTTAGAAGTAAGATATTGAATTATATTCTGGATTTGACAGGGAGCCAGTGGAGAGAAGCTAAAACTGGAGAGAGATGATCTCTCCCACTAACTCCAGTTAAGACTCTGGCAGCAGCATTTTGGATCAACTGAAGACGTTTTAAAGAAGTTTTTGGACATCCAGATAATAAACCATTGCAATAGTCCAGTCTAAACGTGACAAATGCATGAACCAGTTTTTCTGCATCATTTATAAATGAGATGTTTCTAATTTTAGTGATATTACGCAGGTGGAAGAAGGCAAACAATTTTGCACAATTTTTTTTTACTATGCTTGAAATTCAAGCTACAAGATTGTGAGCCTCAGACTCAAACAAGGAAACTCAGAACCCCAACAAACATTTCAAAACATTCTGAATACTGCTGATTTCAGTGAAGGTTAGCAAAACTAATAGATGTTGGATATCTAAGTATTTTGTTTGCTTCTTAAGCCTGCATCACTTTGGTTCTGTAGAACTTTACACATCATCTATCCAATTAGTTAAATAATGCAAGAAACTAGCTGGAAGATAAAGCCTTTCGTAATAGATTATGTTTAGTGTTTTCCGACCCATAATACCTTAGAACAGTACTGTATCTCTGTATTGAGTATCAACCATAAGTGTCATCAGTGCAAATGTTTCTACTGGCTTTATGGATCTTTTTGTGCAGCATGTGCATAAAGCTCTAAAGAATCACAACAACGGACATTCAGACGCCACTAAAACGCATTTCTTATTTAAGTGGCTTCTTTTTTAAAGCTCTTATAATAATAATAATTATAATTATAATAATAATAATAATAATAATAAATTAGATTTGAGTAAACTTTCCTATAACCTCGTTTTGTTCCCAATGCACTTCCTCTTCTTTCAAACGTAGCACCTCCTCCTCTTATTCACTTGACAGTGAAAAGAGAAGAAAGGCGTGGTCTGTTTTCTGTCTAGAAGACCATCTTTCTGCTGCCGAGCATATTTCTGTGCTTCTTCATGTAAGTGCTCCATCCGTCTCTTCTGTGGTGGTGTCTGGTAGCATTTTTCCAGAGTTTCAGTGAAGTGAAAAAACATTATCGTCTGCATACAGCTTTATTCTGTGTGGCTAATATTAGACTTGTCATGTTAATTTA